ATGTCGGTATAGAAAGATTTTACTATGGTGTCGTTATATCCAGATGTCAGTATAACCAGAGTGACGTGTGCTTCTATAATATTAGCTTAAGTGCCATATATTTTGAGAAGCTTATAAATACACATTTGAGAGATACACTTAGAAAAAGTTCTTTATATAAAAGTAAATTAGCCTACTAGAGGTGGTACGGATTCAGGAACTACTGGTTTAAATGGTGGTGGTAGGTTCATTTTGTTCATTAAATGTAATACTTGAGTATACAATTTGGGTACGGCCGCTATTGCGTTCATAATGTTGTAAAGAATTTCAACTGTTGGTGGTGGATAACGATAATGAAGTGTTGGGGCTGGTGGATAATTGAATCTAAATAATTCATGAATCATTTAAAATAAATATAAATATCAAACATGTAAGAGGCTTCAAATCTTTGAAATAGTCATCTTTAAAAATGGCTAAAGTCAAGACTCACCCAAGCGAAGGAGCAATAGGCTCTGCTTGTGACCCAGGTATTGGTGGAATAGGTGGCGGTGGTGGTAATTGTGGTATCGCTACATCGTTTTGTCTAATATCACCAGGGCTATTTGCTACATCAACGCTAGCCTTCTTTTTTAAAGCCTCTTTACTAGGTGATGCATATTCTACACGAATTTTTTTCCTCCTATATCTTCTAATTCTTGAAATTTAGAATACGCTGTAGTAGCTAAGGATCGATCAGGAAAATCCAAAAAAGCAGTATTTTTCTATGAATCAAAACGGAAGAGAATTTATTTAAACGCGTTATTCATTTTTACGAGTACGTTAAGCCTGAGTTATACCAATGGTTGAGTTTTTCCAAGACGAATATCTTGTGGTCCAAAGCGTTTCAGGAATTCGAGCAAATCAGGTTCGGGATAGTTGGGTAAATTTTTTACAATCAAAGTTGTAGTTTCCTAATACGAATTATTGTTTAGTATACGCTCAAATATAATGAAGTAAGATAAATTGTATCACCTGAGCAAGGAACTGAATATCTTTTTTATGAACTGACAAAGGAGGAGGGTTCATCTTGAAAGTTAGAAATCGTTTTTTTTAGCATATCGATATAATCACCTGAATTTATCGTAGTGTGATACCTGTACCTGATACGGACCTGAGTCGATTACGTACGTACGTACGTACTGTACATAGTAGA